CAGGACGTAGATACTACACTATATAAGGTACCTCACAAACTCAATTAGCAGTGGTTTTCGTCCTTATTTCATTTCTATCTTTTCTCTTCCTGCAGACGTTTAAAACGTTTATTTAATGGACACTATTTTCTGCCGACTGTTTACGTTTGCTCCAGAATGGAGAAAATATATGTACATGTATATAAATATGTTGCAGGCGCTTTGATTAGTGTATATACGCACAAAATCATCAATGAGAATGGCTTTATGCTGTAGTCATCAGTGCGTATCTATCGTGCATTTGGGCGAATCTGACAATATTCAGCTTAAAAAGGTAGGTCCCACCGAGATTTGAACTCGGATCGCTGGATTCAAAGTCCAGAGTGCTAACCATTACACCATGGGACCAGGTGACAGCTTAAGCTGATAGATATCCATCAATTTCCAGTTAAGCTAAGATGAAGCATCTGGGGACACACAGATGTTGTTATCCTACACTAGATTCTGGACAGGGAGAAACCCTTCAAATGGAATAATATTAGGCATTAAATCTGTGTGTGATGTAGGGGTGTGAGGGTACTTTCACCTGGCCAGTGTAGTCTTTCGATTCAATATGGTTTCTTTTCCACATGACAATCATCTTGAAAATCTTGCCAAAAAAAGCGCAGTAGGTCCTACCGAGATTTGAACTCGGATCGCTGGATTCAGAGTCCAGAGTGCTAACCATTACACCATAGAACCGCACATGTCAGGGTGAAAGTCTTGGGCATTACAAAGTTACCGATAATCCCTTCCTTTGAGCCTGTCTTGACTGACCCACTGTGACACCTGCCAAATTTCATGTGTGATGTGTCAAGGTGTAGTTCTGGTGTGGAGCACGTGCTACACTGTCAGGACGTAGATACTACACTATATAAGGTACCTCACAAACTCAATTAGCAGTGGTTTTCGTCCTTATTTCATTTCTATCTTTTCTCTTCCTGCAGACGTTTAAAACGTTTATTTAATGGACACTATTTTCTGCCGACTGTTTACGTTTGCTCCAGAATGGAGAAAATATATGTACATGTATATAAATATGTTGCAGGCGCTTTGATTAGTGTATATACGCACAAAATCATCAATGACAATGGCTTTATGCTGTAGTCATCAGTGCGTATCTATCGTGCATTTGGGCGAATCTGACAATATTCAGCTTAAAAAGGTAGGTCCCACCGAGATTTGAACTCGGATCGCTGGATTCAAAGTCCAGAGTGCTAACCATTACACCATGGGACCAGGTGACAGCTTAAGCTGATAGATATCCATCAATTTCCAGTTAAGCTAAGATGAAGCATCTGGGGACACAGATGTTGTTATCCTACACTAGATTCTGGACAGGGAGAAACCCTTCAAATGGAATAATATTAGGCATTAAATCTGTGTGTGATGTAGGGGTGTGAGGGTACTTTCACCTGGCCAGTGTAGTCTTTCGATTCAATATGGTTTTTCTTTCCACATGACAATCATCTTGAAAATCTTGCCAAAAAAAGCGAAGTAGGTCCTACCGAGATTTGAACTCGGATCGCTGGATTCAGAGTCCAGAGTGCTAACCATTACACCATAGAACCGCACATGTCAGGGTGAAAGTCTTGGGCATTACAAAGTTACCGATAATCCCTTCCTTTGAGCCTGTCTTGACTGACCCACTGTGACACCTGCCAAATTTCATGTGTGATGTGTCAAGGTGTAGTTCTGGTGTGGAGCACGTGCTACACTGTCAGGACGTAGATACTACACTATATAAGGTACCTCACAAACTCAATTAGCAGTGGTTTTCGTCCTTATTTCATTTCTATCTTTTCTCTTCCTGCAGATGTTTAAAACGTTTATTTAATGGACACTATTTTCTGCCGACTGTTTACGTTTGCTCCAGAATGGAGAAATATATGTACATGTATATAAATATGTTGCAGGCGCTTTGATTAGTGTATATACGCACAAAATAATCAATGAGAATGGCTTTATGCTGTAGTCATCAGTGCGTATCTATCGTGCATTTGGGCGAATCTGACAATATTCAGCTTAAAAAGGTAGGTCCCACCGAGATTTGAACTCGGATCGCTGGATTCAAAGTCCAGAGTGCTAACCATTACACCATGGGACCAGGTGACAGCTTAAGCTGATAGATATCCATCAATTTCCAGTTAAGCTAAGATGAAGCATCTGGGGGACACACAGATGTTGTTATCCTACACTAGATTCTGGACAGGGAGAAACCCTTCAAATGGAATAATATTAGGCATTAAATCTGTGTGTGATGTAGGGGTGTGAGGGTACTTTCACCTGGCCAGTGTAGTCTTTCGATTCAATATGGTTTCTTTTCCACATGACAATCATCTTGAAAATCTTGCCAAAAAAAGCGCAGTAGGTCCTACCGAGATTTGAACTCGGATCGCTGGATTCAGAGTCCAGAGTGCTAACCATTACACCATAGAACCGCACATGTCAGGGTGAAAGTCTTGGGCATTACAAAGTTACCGATAATCCCTTCCTTTGAGCCTGTCTTGACTGACCCACTGTGACACCTGCCAAATTTCATGTGTGATGTGTCAA